TGGCCCCTGGAGTGATGCTGTGCGGCCCACAGCTGCAGTTTAAGAACGGTCTCGTTTTGGGCAGCAGGGTCAAGAGGTCACTGCAGACGTTCTGCAGATTAGTTGGTTCCTTTTTTATATAATGTTTAGGTTTAACAGCAAAATGAATGAAAAATGAGCAATATTAAAATAGAAACCTTTGGCTGTAATCTTTTTATTTTCACTTCCTGGTACAAAACACCACAAACATTTACTGGTTTCTACCAGAAAGAGACTTTTGGATAATGATTCATGAACTTGTCTAAATGTTGCAGTTGATAAAATAATCACGAGGGAAACTGGACATTTTAAATGAATAGAACGTGGCATCATCTACATACGAGATGATCGACCTCATCAAACCTTCTACGAATCTGTTGTAGCGACCGACAGCTGGATGATTCTTCAGAACTTGGATCAGCCTTTTGGGTCGTCCATGGTCCAAAAGGCTGATGGACCCGCTTTTAAAAGGACATTTACTCAAATTACACTTTTGTTGCTGAGAACAAACTAAAATGAACTTTACGAACACAAGAAAACAACAAACATAAACCCAACAAATCAAATAAATCCTTTTAAATAAAAAAATGAGCTTAGTGTTTAGATGGTTTGGATCTACAACAATTTAAACTGTTTCTCCACCAAAATTAGTAAAAGTTTGTCTTTTTTAAAAATGTTGTTCACGTGAGTTAAATTCACATTTTTGTGGCCCCTGACTCCTTCATCTGGACAGGTTTGGTCCACATACGAAAAGGTTTGGACACCCCTGGTTTAGACTATGGATCCAGGATGACTCTCAGCTACTACCACAGCAGATGTTAGATCACTGTCTGTAACGATCACTGAGTTATAACAATTTGTGTGTTTGTCAGAGACTCTTATCTGCTGCGTCCATCTTGAATTAGGTCGATTTCAAAGTTGAGGTAATTGCAGCTCCTCTAACGATTACTCTCCAACAGTTTGAATAAAATTTGTTCTCAGGTTCATGAGATTTTTTACTAACAGACACACACTCACAAACATGGGGAAAAACTTTATCCCAGCAATTCAGCATGAAATAAAACGATGTAAAGAAACTTGGTAAAATCGTTGAAAGTCATACCTTGACCAGCCGGTTTGATCTCCATGCAGTAGTCACTTTCTACTCTGTTGTTTGGCTGCCCGGGGCCCCAGAAGCTGAACTTTGGGTCAAACGGTGAACCATCGCTCCAAATCCACTGTCCTTTCTGTGAGAGGACGTTTTTAAGTCAGTTTACATCTTCCTTTTTATGCCAGTAGTGCAGATTCTTTGTTTTTGAGCAACCAATAAAACACGCTCTGTCTCGTTACCAACAGTCCTTCATGACTGCCATTAAGAACTGAAAACGATCATTAAATATTCAATACTAGGAAATAAATCTAATTCTGATATCATTTTACACAAGCCTCACCTTTGTTGAAGCAGTGGCTCCAAGCCAGGCACTTTGTTTGTTTCCTGAAGTTTTGTAGATCAGATCCATGATGAAGGTGTACTCCTCTTTTGATAAAACGGTGGAGAGGTTTCCATCAAAGTAGTTGCAGTAATGCTGAGGGAAGGACAAGATGCAAACATCAAACCAACAAAATAATCTGCTGTGCAGCTCATTAGATACAGCTGCCCACACTTTTCTGTCCAAATGACAACAAAACATCAGTTTTCAGTACAAGAACAATCATTTCAGGTATTTGAATTGTCGCAAAAACGCTTTGTGTAGTGCATAGCTGTCCCGGCTGTGGAACACTGGACCAGCTCTTTACCCTCATCAGGGTCCTTGAGGGGTCACGGGAGTTTGTCCAACCAGTCTACA